AATATGTTGCCGTTTGGATCATCGCAATCATCGTCAATATCTCATCGCTGCACCCGAGATCCACACTAGCCACAACATTTTAGAGAGCGGCGGTTCAAGAGGAAACTCCGCCATTTTCCTACCAAGCTTTGTCACAATCCTTCCTCATCCAACGCTCCCAGGCTGTACAGCTGTTCCATAGCAGAGATCAAAGCTTGCGGCTGCGGTGGATCCATGAAGTCAAACGATAACAGGTCGTTGATCCCCATTGCTTTCATGGTCAGCGTTGTCATTCCGAGATTAATCCTCTGGATTTCAGGGATTGATGTAGGAGGCATCTCGTTACGGAATGCGCTCTCAGTGTAGAGACGGTAACATTTACCAGGACCAGTACGACCAGCACGTCCAGCTCTCTGCTCCGCCGACGCCTGTGAGATTGGAGTTATGACTAGCGACTCTAGCCCTTGCTTTGGGTTATACACGTTCTGCTTCGCAAACCCGGGATCAACAACATATAAATCCCATCTATCGTCAAAGAAGCTTCTGCAATGTTTGTAGCCACAACCACTTTCCGTGTACCAGGAGGAGGAGGATCGAAGATTCTAGACTGCATTTCACTAGGAAGGGCACTGTAAACAGGAAGAATGATGAGTTCAGGAACGTTTTTACCAAGCTTCTTCATTCTCTCGTACAGAGACTGGCAAGCGGAATCGATTTCTTCCTGTCCCGTCAAAAACACAAGAATGTCACCCTCTGGTTCAGTCAAGTGGATCTGAAGAACTGTGATGAGAGCTGCATCCAAGTAATCGGTTTCTGGCTGTTTGGTGTACAGTTTCTCAACAGGGAAGGTTCTTCCAGGGATTGTGAAAATGTTGCAGTTGAAGAAATACCCAGAGAACTTCTCTGCATCCAATGTGGCAGACGTGACTATCAAACGAAGGTCAAGCCTGCGTTTCAACAGCTTCTTCAGAAGACCAAACAGCACATCAGTGTGAATTGTCCGCTCGTGAGCTTCATCAAGCATGATAACAGAGTATTGAGAGAGGTTTTCGTCAGTCAGAATCTCCCTAAGAAGCATACCATCAGTCATGTACTTGATCACCGTTCTGGTCCAGTACAATCCTCAAACCGAATCGCATACCCTACCTCCTCTCCCAAACGACAACCAAACTCCTCAGCTACTCTCTTGGCAACAGACATCGCGGCGACCCTACGAGGCTGAGTACACCCAATCTTTCCTTTTGTGGTGTAACCTGATTCGGCAAGATACTGAGTCATCTGTGTCGTCTTACCAGACCCAGTCTCACCAATGACCACCAGAACTTGGTTATCATGCACAGCCTGTATCAACTCCTTTTTCAGCTTGTATATAGGAAGGCTCTCCCTTTGCTCCTGCATAGAGAGCTTTGATCTCTGTCCAAAAGTCGGAGTTTTCCCGAAAGCATCCTTCTTCCATTCCGGCATGTCATAAGCTGATAACCCGACACCCCTAAGCTCCTGAGCAAGATGCCTTTCACCATTTTCAGGCATTGGATCTTCCCAAGGACGATTCAGATCCTTGGGATCGAGTCAAGCATTGTTCTCTGCTGCTGTTCCTTCATTTCTCTCCTCTCCTTGGTGAGGGCGGACTGAAGTGCAGCGGCACGACTCAAGGAACCTTCAGGATTCTTGAAGATCTTCACCGGAGACATGTCAACAGAGTACCTGGTCTGCCCTTGCAAGAAGCAGGTTCGTCTTCGTTCATCTCAATCTCAAGTTCTTCTTCTTCAGCACCTTCCTCTTGATAAAGCATCCCACCTTCGTCCTCATCATAATTTGGAAACTCACTCTGCTTCAAGGCACCAGAGGCAATCAACTGCTTCGCTTCCCATCTCTCAGGGGAGCTCATCTTCTTCAATGGCCTACGTGAAGGCGGAACATCACTCTCCTCCACGATACGGATCCCCGAAATCCCAGTCTTGGTGACTTGTCCATCCCTTGTTCTATACGACGGATTACTCCTGGATGAATCATCCTCTGTAGGCTTCTTCAGAGGGATCAAATCTGTGCCATTATTCTGATCAACATCTCTCATAGAAAGGCTATACTTATCATTCGAAATAGATATCACTTTGACGTAAACCTCCATATCACGCTTCACAAAATCTTTTGCCTTGTCAACTCTTCTAGTAGCCATCTGAGAAACATGGACTAGACCTTCTTTCCCTCTAAATCTATCGAATTGAACGAAACATCCAGCGTCCATTACCCTCGTTACTCTACCTTTGTATACCTGATACAGCTCCGGCTCATTCGCACCACCGCCCTCCGTGTACTCATCCTTCCTATCTCTACGCCTATCACTTCATTCCATCTCCGCCTTCATCTTTTCTACGGTTTCTTTCTCTATGCCTACCGCTTCTTCTATCTTCTCCATCTTCATCTCCACGAGGTCTGTCTCTGTGTCGATCCCTATCTCTACCGGAATCTCTCCGATCCCGACCTCGGTCTCTATCTCTATTCCGATCCTCTTCTCTCTGTCGCTCCCGAGCTTCCAATTCAATCTCCTTCTCAAGCTCCTTCACTTTATCCTTAGTATCCTTAATAGCCAAGCCTTTGTATTTCTCATTACCTCATCTCTCCGTCGTCCTTCTTCCTCTCCGACTTGGGCTTCGGAGGGTAAATCCCGTGGATTACAGTTAACAGCGAGCGGACGAAATAATCCGGCATCTCCGCGCCTTCCTTCTTCAGCTTCTTATCGAATTCATCGACAGTCTCGGAGTTGCGGCCAAGGTCGATGATGAATTCGGCCAAAACTTTTTCCGTAGCCCCTAGATGCGTTTCCAATTCGTTACACACATTGGAGACGAGAGAGAGATGATTCAGTTTCTTAAGTTCGTCCTTCTCCATGGCCGAAACCGATAAGACTTCTATTACGAGAGCTTTAAAGTCTTTGGCACACCGCTGCAAAAACGCAAGAAGAAGCTATTTAGATGAAATACACAAACAAAGTCCTCAAATCTCTCAAAGGCAGCTATAAATATAACTCTAAACCTTGTCACAACCGACATAGGAAAAGGAAAACTAAAGAAAAAGGAAAAACCAAAAACCTAAGTCTGTCTAAAATAAGGAAAAACTAACATTAAGTAAATAAGAACTGAATAATGGAAGTAGCTGTGAAGAAGTTACGAGCATGTTCGTAGCCGATTCATTGGCAGGACACTACAAAAACTCATTAGCTTACCGTTTTAGCAAGGTTGCAGGCACGGTCAGGAGAATTGAGGATCTCGTAATACAACACGGAGAAGTTCAATGCCAGACCAAGACGGCGGATAGGGTGTGTTGGAGCGAGCCCCTTTGCATTTTCCTGTACAGCGTAAACACAGCAAAAAAAGCCATAAGCTTAACAACGGCAAGCTCAGACTAATTCCAGAGATTCAGTGGCAGGACACGACAATAAATCATCAAATAACAAACAGTGAATCAAGCCTCTTACAAGTCTTACAAGTCTACCATTACAGAACACGAAACATTATCAAAAAAGTTATACTATTTGGTTAGTTGGTGTTAATTCTTCTTAAGATAATTGCAAAATCTTGTCTTGAGTTTTCATTGCGTTTATTATCACCTTTCAGCCACAACAAAATGCATGTAGAACAGTGAATCCTCCACTAAAAACCTTCATATTCCAAACTATCACTTAGTTTATTAGTGTACAATGCATGTATGTATTGGTATAACAAGACAATCGCATAATCAAGCTCTAAGACAGTGGACGACAATGAGTATCAGAAAGAACAGTGATAGTGCTAAATCGCAAAACCAAAATCGAGTGTGAAGGTTGCAGGAAAAGAATCAGAAAACCCACAAAAACAGACAGAAATCAACATCTTAAAGGCACTAATCCGCAAATCCAATGAAACCCAGAAATCAGAATCCGAAAATCCACAAAACCCACAACTGAGAGAGAGAGAGAGAAAAGCTTCGGTGTCAAAAAGAGAGAGAGAGAGAGAGAGAAGAGCTTACAGAGTTATGGGAACGGTGGTGGAGAGGAGTTTAAGAATCGAACTGGAGAGACAGATTTGGAACGGGAACGGGAACGGTGGTGGAGAGGAGAGAAGAGGGTGGTGGCGAGGAGAGAAGACGGTGAGTCGGTGAAGAGACAGAACAGTCGAAGCTAGATTTGCTTTGGTTGCAGAAATCCGGTCTAGACGGTTAAGCCGTTTAATTATCTTCAGACCCGTTTCGTTAACAGGCCATAGCAGACAGCCTTTTTAAATCCGTTTAAATAATGGGCTATTTTCACAATATAGGCCCACGATAATTTTGGGCCCAAAATCACATCGCTAATAGTGTGAATAAAAAAATGATACATAATCTACTCGTAGCTCGAGGAATATGAAGTCTTCAAAACTCACATGTCAAAAAGAAAATAGATGAAGCAGCTGCAAATAGTTATTTTTTAATAGCAGTGAATACATAAGAAATGTTACACTTGATGAGTTTACATGATAAACGAAATAGATATAAATTTGATGTAAACTTCCATATCCCGTTTTATATCTTTTAGTTGGTTAATCACAGATTAGTCCACAAACTCAAAACCAAACTAGCTAACTTGGCTTGATTTGAACTTGAACATATTTATATGCATATTCAAGCGAAGTTAGCTAATTTGGTTTTGATTTTGTCGACCAATCCGCGATTAACCAACTAAATAGATAATACCATATTATATGTATGATCTGTCCATTTCCAATCTTGCAAGGTCAAAACATATTAATCGTCACTTTACCAAAACCAAACTCAAATAACCCTAGATCATCTCCACATACTCGTTTTTAAGACTGATTATTTTCTTGTTGTTTGGAGAGCTTTTGGGATTTGTACGCAATTCGACTTGATCTTTTGCATGATTTTGCGGTTTCTTTACATCAATGGCAAAAATGTATGAACTCCTACCAGGCTTAGACATAACACTTTTTCACTCCTACAACCAACAAATTCTTGCTATATTTTACGAAATAGCGTACAAAAAAAGAGAGAAGATGGTGGTGTCACCTAACTGAGCAGCCTCACCTACCTTATAAACCACATGAATAAATCGAGTTACCCCACGGACACTCTCGGAATTAATTTGTTGATAAGTGAGGATTTTGGTAAACATTATCAAAATGATATCTTTTTCGATGCAACTAAAGAATTGTACTAATCAAACTCATTAACGATGCTAGTAAACTGAATGTGAGACGTTATTTTTTCTCTTCAACTGTAAAAATCAAATTAAGCTGAATTTACAATCCAAAATTTCTTGTATTCCACCTAATCCTCTTTTTTTTTTTTTTTTGGTGAGTACCTAATCCTCTTCTTTTACTACATCCAAAGAACAAAAATTCCCACCTTTTCTTTCCCCCCAAAGTTTACAAGTGGGCATTTGTGAGGCTGTGAAGCCCAACCAAAGAGCCTCTCTCTCTCCATTTACTCAACATTCCACAAGAACCACACAAATTCATAACTCTTTACGCTAACACAAGAAAGCATCCAAACTCAATCCTCTCACCTCCACCTCACATTCCCCGGAGCCACCATCACTAACCCTTCTCACTCGTCTCCTGAAATCAAAATCCATTATGCTTATGCAACACCATTTTCATCTTCATCTTCATCAACATCACCATCATCTTCTTCATCATCCATGGCCCATATCCCTTCTCTGTAGATTCTCATCTATCTCCCTTCTTCTCATTTTATCCTCTTGATTTCCCAAATATCTAATTCCTTTTCTCCTCCGTCCCAAACATGACTCTTCCTTATCGTTTCTCTTCGGTTAGGCACCGCTCGCTTCTACTTAAGACTCCTCATCTCTGCACACCCAGATCAGCTCTCGGTTGTTTCTCTCCCAAGGAATCTCCTTTCTTCAAGAAGAACAGTGCCCTATTCTTTTCTCCCCAGAAACACACTTCTCTTCCCCTCAAACTCGTCTGCCCTTTTGCTAGCTTCTCCTCTTATGCCGATGCTGAGGGAGACGAGCAGCACCATACCGATCAACAGATACAGAAACCCAACGAATCAGATGGAAAAGGTAATGCAGAAGCTACTGGAGACTTCTCCGGGATGGCTCAAGCCTTTCACATTTCATCCAACACAGCGAGGGGAATCTCCATAGCCATCGCCTTCTGTGCTCTCTGCTTCCCACTCTTCATGAAGTCTCTAGGACAAGGACTGGCTCTCAAGACGAAGCTCCTCTCTTACGCCACACTGCTCTTCGGTTTCTACATGGCGTGGAACATCGGAGCTAATGATGTCGCCAATGCCATGGGAACTTCCGTTGGATCCGGAGCCCTGACCATCCGTCAAGCTGTGATGACCGCTGCGGTTCTTGAATTCTCAGGTGCTCTTCTGATGGGAACTCACGTGACGAGCACGATGCAGAAAGGGATTCTCATGGCTAATGTCTTCCAAGGGAAAGATATGTTGCTCTTCGCTGGTCTCCTCTCTTCCTTGGCTGCTGCTGGAACTTGGTTACAGGTTCCATCTTATCTTTTTCACTTCTTCATCACTATGGTTTAGTAAAGTTAGAATGGTAATCACAAACGATTCAATCAGAAGAACCTAATAGCATTGCAGTGTAGTGTATGATTGTGTATTTGTGAACTTCACAGGTGGCTTCTTACTATGGATGGCCAGTATCTACAACTCACTGTATCGTCGGATCAATGGTTGGGTTTGGGCTTGTTTATGGCGGAGCTGGTGCCGTTTTCTGGAGTTCTCTAGCTAAAGTGGCTTCCTCTTGGGTTATCTCTCCTCTATTGGGAGCTCTAGTCTCCTTTCTTGTCTACAAATGCATCAGGAGAGTAAGTAAAACAAACAAATCAATCCAAGAATCAAACTTTGTGTTACTTAAACCATGCTCATGCTATATCTGTTACCTCTTCACACTCTCCTTTTCTTCTGCGCAGTTTGTTTACAGTGCACCAAACCCGGGAAAAGCGGCGGCTGCGGCGGCTCCAGTCGCGGTGTTCATAGGCGTGGCGAGCATTTCCTCAGCCGCATTTCCTCTGAGCAAGATCTTTCCAATAGCTTTGTCACAAGCCTTAGCCTGTGGAGCAGCAGGAGCCATTATCTTCGACAGGATCATTCGGAATAAGCTCGGTCACCTCCTCGCTAAAACCAAATCGGAATCATCGCAAAACGAGGCAAAAAGCATCGGCTTCCTCTCCGATATCGCAGGACCTACAGGTACTCAGCTCGAGATAGTCTACGGAGTCTTTGGCTATATGCAAGTCCTCTCCGCTTGCTTCATGTCCTTCGCTCACGGAGGCAACGACGTCTCAAACGCAATCGGACCTTTAGCCGCCGCATTGAGCATCCTCCAGAAGGGAGCAGGTGTAGGAGGCGGCGAGATCGTGATTCCGCTGGACGTTCTCGCCTGGGGAGGATTCGGGATCGTTGCGGGTCTCACCATGTGGGGATACAGAGTGATCGCGACGATTGGGAAGAAGATCACCGAGCTTACGCCGACGCGAGGTTTCGCGGCGGAATTCGCCGCCGCGTCGGTGGTTCTGTTTGCTTCGAAATTGGGGCTTCCGATTTCGGCGACTCACACGCTCGTTGGAGCAGTGATGGGAGTTGGATTCGCGAGAGGGCTTAATAGCGTGAGAGCAGAGACGGTGAGAGAGATCGTCGCTTCGTGGCTCGTCACGATTCCCGTCGGTGCTACACTCGCCGTCCTCTACACTTGGATTTTCACCAAGATCTTATCTTTCGTGTTGTGAGTTTCTTTTTTTCTGGATCTCTGGTTTTCTGATACGAAGAACAATTTTCTTCTATGTTGGCTTTATCGATTTCGAATTCAAAAACCCTAAAATATTCTGATTCTGATGTTCGATTCAAAATCTGAAATTTTCACCGATCGGTGAAGTATGTATGTTTCTTGATCAGTGTTCGTCTCGTCGTCCGAGTAAAATCGAATTAGAGTGGGTGACGTTTTGTTTCCCTAAAAACGTCTTGTTGTTTATTTCCTCACCGAAGAAACGGTAGCGTATTGAGCGGTCTTGCTTTCGTGAGACGCGCGCATCTCTTGCTTTTCATACACGCGTCTCGGAGACAAACTGACATTGATTTGATTCTTTTATGACGAAACTACCCTTACACGCATCATTTGAAGGACTTCGAATTAGAACATCAAGGGTAGTTTAGTCAATTCGGCATTGGTCACTACGAGTTAGAAGAAATATCTTCTTCAAGCTAATCTCTTGCTTCTCTGGTTCTACTTCTTCCATCGTTTCGACATTTGGTGCTCGCTCCCATGGCGGCGGTTATCGGAAACGTAGCGCTGTTACTTGACGTCAACTCTCACCGTACTTTGATCACCGATCGGAGAATTCGACAGGCGGTGGTTGACGTCGTTCTGAATCTACCGAAGAGAGATTCGCACAGTCACGTCTCTTCCTATTACGCGTCTCTCTCCTCCAACAAGCCTCTGGAATCGGACGGAGAAGCTCGGATTCGCCGGTTTTCGACTCGCGGGAAGGCGAATTCCAGGGCTAACGCCGTCGATTTCGACGACGCTGGATCCAGCGACGAGGAAAGCGGCGACGGCGGCGGCGACGGCAAGGAGACCGACGAGGAGGATAAAGCTAAAGATGTGGAGAAGGAGATGAAGAGGAGAGTTAAGGAATTGCAGGATATGAAGGAGCTGGAGAGGAAAGCGGAGGAGTTGCAGTATAGGATTGAGGAAGAAGGAGACGATTCAGAGGAGAAGAAGAGGATGCGAGTTAAAAGAGAGCTCGAAAAGGTACGATTTTTTAGGGCTTTCTCTGCTCACTGAGTGTGAATCTTTTAGGTAAAGGAACACTCTTTAGATTAGTGCTGATTGAAGTGAGATTGGTGAGAGCAGGTAGCTAAGGAGCAAGCAGAGAGGAGAGCAACAGCAGAATTGATGTTTGAATTAGGTCAAAAGGCGTACGGCAAAGGAATGTATGGACGAGCAATAGAGTTTCTTGAAGGAGCTCTTACGATTATCCCAAGGCCAACACTCTTTGGTGGTGAGGTTGGTTTTGAAAAAACACCAATTTAGGTAACTTATGTTTTTTTTCCAGCTTTGAAAAAAAATTGCTAATGGTGGAATGATTTGCCAGATACAAATTTGGTTAGCTATGGCATATGAGGCCAATAATCGCCACGCTGATTGCATTGATCTTTATCAGCAATTAGAGAAGAGGCACCCGAGTCCTGGTATTCGTCGTCAAGCTTCTGAGCTTAGGTATATCTTGCAAGCTCCTAAGCTCAAGATTTCTCAGGAGGAAATGGTTACTATACCAATGATCGGTTCTAGTTACGACAGGTATAATGTTTAATCAACTTCTATGTTATATGTGTCCTCGTGGCTACACTAAAAGTGAGTTTCAATGTGGAGTCACAGAGGTACATTTCGGACTCCTTACCTCTTCCGGTTCCCAAATTAGGTCCATTTGATGTTCCTCCCTTGGATTGAGACCGTTTCACTCATGTTTGTCCTCATAGTCATGTGTAGAACCTATTAATCCATGTTTGGATAAGTATGGGTCCATCTAGTTCATCTTATACACTACAAGTGAGTTTCCACAATGTGGAGTCACAGAGGTACATTTCGGACTCCTTACCTCTTCCGGTTCCCAAATTAGGTCCATTTGATGTTCCTCCCTTGGATTGAGACCGTTTCACTCATGTTTGTCCTCATAGTCATGTGTAGAACCTATTAATCCATGTTTGGGTAAGTATGGGTCCATCTAGTTCATCTTATACACTACAAGTGAGTTTCCACAATGTGGAGTCACAGAGGTACATTTCGGACTCCTTACCTCTTCCGGTTCCCAAATTAGGTCCATTTGATGTTCCTCCCTTGGATTGAGACCGTTTCACTCATGTTTGTCCTCATAGTCATGTGTAGAACCTATTAATCCATGTTTGGGTAAGTATGGGTCCATCTAGTTCATCTTATACACTACAAGTGAGTTTCCACAATGTGGAGTCACAGAGGTACATTTCGGACTCCTTACCTCTTCCGGTTCCCAAATTAGGTCCATTTGATGTTCCTCCCTTGGATTGAGACCGTTTCACTCATGTTTGTCCTCATAGTCATGTGTAGAACCTATTAATCCATGTTTGGGTAAGTATGGGTCCATCTAGTTCATCTTATACACTACAAGTGAGTTTCCACAATGTGGAGTCACAGAGGTACATTTCGGACTCCTTACCTCTTCCGGTTCCCAAATTAGGTCCATTTGATGTTCCTCCCTTGGATTGAGACCGTTTCACTCATGTTTGTCCTCATAGTCATGTGTAGAACCTATTAATCCATGTTTGGATAAGTATGGGTCCATCTAGTTCATCTTATACACTACAAGTGAGTTTCCACAATGTGGAGTCACAGAGGTACATTTCGGACTCCTTACCTCTTCCGGTTCCCAAATTAGGTCCATTTGATGTTCCTCCCTTGGATTGAGACCGTTTCACTCATGTTTGTCCTCATAGTCATGTGTAGAACCTATTAATCCATGTTTGGGTAAGTATGGGTCCATCTAGTTCATCTTATACACTACAAGTGAGTTTCCACAATGTGGAGTCACAGAGGTACATTTCGGACTCCTTACCTCTTCCGGTTCCCAAATTAGGTCCATTTGATGTTCCTCCCTTGGATTGAGACCGTTTCACTCATGTTTGTCCTCATAGTCATGTGTAGAACCTATTAATCCATGTTTGGGTAAGTATGGGTCCATCTAGTTCATCTTATACACTACAAGTGAGTTTCCACAATGTGGAGTCACAGAGGTACATTTCGGACTCCTTACCTCTTCCGGTTCCCAAATTAGGTCCATTTGATGTTCCTCCCTTGGATTGAGACCGTTTCACTCATGTTTGTCCTCATAGTCATGTGTAGAACCTATTAATCCATGTTTGGTAAGTATGGGTCCATCTAGTTCATCTTATACACTACAAGTGAGTTTCCACAATGTGGAGTCACAGAGGTACATTTCGGACTCCTTACCTCTTCCGGTTCCCAAATTAGGTCCATTTGATGTTCCTCCCTTGGATTGAGACCGTTTCACTCATGTTTGTCCTCATAGTCATGTGTAGAACCTATTAATCCATGTTTGGGTAAGTATGGGTCCATCTAGTTCATCTTATACACTACAAGTGAGTTTCCACAATGTGGAGTCACAGAGGTACATTTCGGACTCCTTACCTCTTCCGGTTCCCAAATTAGGTCCATTTGATGTTCCTCCCTTGGATTGAGACCGTTTCACTCATGTTTGTCCTCATAGTCATGTGTAGAACCTATTAATCCATGTTTGGTAAGTATGGGTCCATCTAGTTCATCTTATACACTACAAGTGAGTTTCCACAATGTGGAGTCACAGAGGTACATTTCGGACTCCTTACCTCTTCCGGTTCCCAAATTAGGTCCATTTGATGTTCCTCCCTTGGATTGAGACCGTTTCACTCATGTTTGTCCTCATAGTCATGTGTAGAACCTATTAATCCATGTTTGGGTAAGTATGGGTCCATCTAGTTCATCTTATACACTACAAGTGAGTTTCCACAATGTGGAGTCACAGAGGTACATTTCGGACTCCTTACCTCTTCCGGTTCCCAAATTAGGTCCATTTGATGTTCCTCCCTTGGATTGAGACCGTTTCACTCATGTTTGTCCTCATAGTCATGTGTAGAACCTATTAATCCATGTTTGGGTAAGTATGGGTCCATCTAGTTCATCTTATACACTACAAGTGAGTTTCCACAATGTGGAGTCACAGAGGTACATTTCGGACTCCTTACCTCTTCGGTTCCCAAATTAGGTCCATTTGATGTTCCTCCCTTGGATTGAGACCGTTTCACTCATGTTTGTCCTCATAGTCATGTGTAGAACCTATTAATCCATGTTTGGGTAAGTATGGGTCCATCTAGTTCATCTTATACACTACAAGTGAGTTTCCACAATGTGGAGTCACAGAGGTACATTTCGGACTCCTTACCTCTTCCGGTTCCCAAATTAGGTCCATTTGATGTTCCTCCCTTGGATTGAGACCGTTTCACTCATGTTTGTCCTCATAGTCATGTGGAGAACCTATTAATCCATGTTTGGGTAAGTATGGGTCCATCTAGTTTTTTCGGTCACATTTGCTCCAAGTCTTAAAGCCAATTGTTGTTTCCACGACTACTTTCCCCCAAACTTCATCTTTTTTCTCTTCATGTTAACGCTACAAACATTGGTCATTTCTTTGATAACCATTTCAAACATTCCTTCACAAGCAACAATGATACGATGCCACGAAACTAAAGAAGAACCAGATATTTTTCTTGAACATTATCAAACATCTTCTCCTAAAGCCCTCCACCGATGTATCACTACTCTTGTTGGTCAGACATCCTCCTACGTATCATCTCTAACCCTTGCAGGCAAAAGACTCTACACAGGCTCCAACGACGGTGTTGTCAGATTGTGGAATGCAAGCACGTTGGAAACGTTAGCGGAAGCATCAAGCAGCGCCGACGTAATAACAGGAGAAAGAGGAGGCGGAGGAGCAGTGAAGTCTTTGGTAATCTTGGCTGATAAACTCTTCACAGCACACCAAGATCAAAAGATACGTGTGTGGAAGATAAACAACGTCGTTGAGGAAGAAGAAGATGTTGGTAATAATAAAAAATACATGCATTTAGCAACGATGCCAACGATCAGCGACCGTTTTGCAAAGTGTTTGATGCCTAAGAACCAAGTCGAAATAAGAAGGCA